ATTGATCAAATCGCCACTCTACGGATCATCATTGAACAAAGCTTAGAATGGCAGTCACCTCTCTATCACTCAACTTCATCGACTTTGGAAAAGCCTTCGACAGCGTCGATCGAGAGGTCATTTGGCAACTACTTCGCTACTACTGTGGGGTCCCATCGACAATTATACATCTCATCCAACAGTTATACGACAATGCTGCATGCCAAGTAATCCACAACGGGAAACTTACGGAAGCCTTCGAAGTGAGGACGGGAGTGAGGCAAGCTGGCTGCCTACTATCGCCAATGATTTTCCTGATTGCAGTAGATTGGATAATGAGACAGACAGTTAGCGGGTAATGAGGAAACAGGCATAAAATGGACTCACACAAAAAGAGAACTTGGAGGATCTGGACTTCGCCGATGATATATGTGTGATTTTCCACAAAGTGGAAGATATACAAATGAAAAGCAACAATTTGGCGATAGAAGAAGCATAAAAGATAGGACTTCAAGTGAACATAGCGAAAACAGAAGTGATAAGGATTCCTGGCCAACAACAACAGCAACAACAGCAGCAGACGACAATCAACCAGTATAAATGGGAGGAACCTGAAAGAAACAGCCTCCTTCACCTACCTGGGAAGTATCGTTTCAACTACAGGCGGAACTGACGAGGATACCAAAGCCAGAATCGGAAAAGCAAGACAAGCTTTCATTACTCTCAAGTCTGTGTGGAGGTCAACAGCATTCACCATCAAAAATAACATCCGGATTTTCAACTCCAATGTGAAGTCAGTGCTACTGACTATACGGATCAGAGACTTGACCAGCGCCTCATAAAGAGCATCTCAAACAAACTTCAGACCTTCATTAACAGCTGTCTTCGCTCAATACTACTCAAGATCAGATGGCTGGCCAGAAAAGATCAGCAACAGTTATCTCTGGTAATGAGCGAACCAACCCAGCAGGAACCGATTGTGAAACAAGTAGGCAGGAAGAAATCGAGATGGATTGGCCATACGCTGAGGAAACAAGGCACCAAGTGACATCAATAGACAAGCCATTGCTTGAGTGGAACCTAGCCGAAAGGGAATCAGCGAGTTGGTCGTCGGTGCAAGGGTGACTTGGAGGAGGTGATGTGAAGAGGAGATGAAAGCGTGTGGGCAGACTTGAAGCGGGGTGAAAAAGTTGTCAGAAAACCGAAGGCAATGGAGACGTTTTGGCTGAAGCCCTATGTTCCTCTAGGAATTAAAGGATACAATAATAATAATTTAGAATGCACCTCAATAGTAGTTCTTTTAAGTAGTGAATCAGATCTGGCCATTTGATTTTGAGTATGGAACTGGCAAAGACAGCTGTTTATGAAAGTCTACAGCAAGGTTTTTGGAAATTCTCAATACGAGTAATAATCATCTTTTATGTGTATGTTTCTCCTACCGACACATAAACTTGACATAATTCTCTTGTTTGTTTTTAAAATCTGAATATTCATCATGGAAAGGAACAGTCTTTTTAGTCCTCCTTTCTTATTCACTTAAGTGTGTGTGTGCGTGTGTGTAGACACAGTTTGAACATCCGCTTGTAGTATTAGCAAAAAAGCAACGATTAAACCCACTTTAAAAGAGTGGAGTGGAGTGGAGCAGAGTAGAGTGGAGTGGAGTGGAGTAAGAAGAATGTTAGAGGAAAAACGCAGCAAACTAGACAATGATTTATGTATTTATTGAATTATTTAAAGGATTCTTTCTTTTATTTTCTTTCCACAATGATTGCGTTTTATTATCATAGTAACATTTAAAAGCTTTTATATATACTTTTACGTATACTTTTAAAAGATTTATATAATAATACTGTTTTTATAGTGGCGGTCGTTGTGGCGGTGTGTATAGTGTATAAAGACTTGTGTCTAGAGGGGATTATGTTGTGTATTCATTTCTCTGGCAGCGGTGGCGGGGCGGAGGAGGGCTTAGGGAATTAATTTCATCTGGTTTTTTTTAAAGAATTTTTCCCATAAGAGATAAGGCGGTGGATAATATCTATGTGATCTGATCTTTTAATAAGTGAAAGGGATAATCTGAACTCTATAGTTTGGATATTTTCAGTTGAATATGTTATGTTCCCTGTTTATGAAAGTACTAAGTTCTTCTTAAGTTAACACTGGTTACTGAAATTGTATGGTTCTCTTCGAATAGATAGTGGATCTTTTCAGCGGTAAACAGAATGTATAAGTACTGTCAACAGATGATGACTTAGCATTATGATGCTGTTTGATATCAGTTAGAGAACCACTGGAAACCAGAAAGTACTGGACAGCTAAAATCACCAATTTGTTAGAAATTAAAATTCATACGACATTGAGATGGTTCATAGTGGCTGAATAATTTACGAGCTTGCCCAGTTACCGGAAAATCCTGGGCTTGAACCCTGGAGGTGGATGTGCATTGCCAATGTGTCCCGAACTAGGAGGAAACAGGCATCTAGTACTCCCAGGTTTCCCACTGGTTCCTTAAGTGATGTCAACTCTTTGTCGAACCTGTAACCAATTTAACCCCTGCAAACCTTCCCTTTCTGAAAGTACCGTGAAGCAATGAATGTTCAATAATCTTGAAAAATATGCTTTCTTGCTTTCTGAACGAAATCCTTCATTTCGTTCTCTGCTTGTTTCTCCATATATTCTTGTTTTATTTTTGTTGTATTTTTAATATTTTTATCGTGCGTTGAGGTTCCTGTAACAGTTTGATTAATTTTGTGTGGTAGGATCGTTAGCCTCACACCCAACCCTCCCTCTTTATCAGGGCTTGGGACTGGCTAGAAAACTACCGAGCTTGTAACGACAGAAGACAAAGGGCCAGGCAACAGGTCGTTTATTGAGGAAATCAGCACATATTTATAGATTTTAATGTACATTATTGTAGATTATTGTTAGTAGATAACACTGTCTTCTGATTAGTTGTTTCTTACAGAAAGTTAACCCTGCATCTCTTTGCGGCTGTTTCTTGAATGTCCGATCATCTATTTGTTAACTGTATCCGCCTACGCAGTCTGCCTGTCTGTTTTCGACATAGAACTTTGCACATATGTGCGTCAGTTCAAGTCGCCACACTCCATGTAGCACACAAAGTAAGAGAAGAAAGTACAAGAAAGGCATAATGGAGACAGTAAACAGAGGAATAGTAGTAACCAAGAACAACATAGTTTAATTGGAAATCATAAGTCACAGGGAGTGGATGCATCTGCGCCACTGAGAACGATTTTGAGCCATGTCACCAATTGTTTCCAACCATTTGTTTTTACCGTCCCGGGACCCCAACCTGGAAGTCTACACCTTCCTACATGGCTTAGGCTAACTGTTGTAGATTTCATTGACTGGTGCCATGTTTTTGTCTGACCTCCACTAGCTCTTTTCCAGCCTGACCCTATATCCGCTAACATTGCTCGTCGAGGAAGGCGATGACTAGGCATGCATACGTAACACATGTCCTAACCATCTCAGTCTTTGTAACTCCACAACTTCGTCGATTGATTTCCCCTCCTTACCTAGAACTCGACGCCTAACCTCAATATTGCTCACCTTATTGTACCACTTCACACGGGAGATAGACAGCTAGTCTTTTCATGTCTTCCACTCTCAGTGACCAGGTCTCGCTCACAGCCATAAAGGAGGACGGAGCGGACTGATGAGCAGTGCACCCGCCCTTTGATCGATAGTCGAATATCTCGTCTACGCCAGAGTCGGCGTAAACTGGAAATGCGAAACGAGCCCCCTGTATCCGTGCCGAGATTTCGTCAGAGATCAACCCGTTGGCGTTGGCTGATGGTACTTCCCAAATAAGTGAAGCGGTCAACGTGCTCTTCTACGCAAAGTCTGCTGTGGTTGATTGTTGAATTGGTCTTTGTTCTTATTTCCCCACGACCAATATTGGGGTCATCAACATTGACGTAAAACGCTGTCTACCACTTTTGGCTAGCAGCCACCTCTCACCAAAAGAGCTTATTAAACTAGGCGAGGTTGAAATGCATACTTGAAGACTTGCAGGCGACAACCAAAAGACTGGTTGAAGAGGCTGGTAGAGAAGGCAGGACTCCAGGTGAACATAGAGAATGATGACGATACCTACCACCTCCGGCAGCAGCAACAACCAGCACCAGTCACCCACCATCAATGACAGAGATTTAACTGAGGTCACTTCACTTCTTTCACTTCTCCGGTTAGGAAGCACGCTTTCAATCACTGGCAGTCGGACAACACACATGAAGATTTCAAAACCAACCAGCCAGTTAGCCAGCGAGAATCGGAGAGGCAAGCAAGATACTCCTTTATCATCAATCTGAAACCAGTTAGGAATTCTTCTGCACTCACTCGGCCAGCCAGCCAGCATGAAGAACAAGATTCGGATTCTGTGAGGTGAGTCAGTCAGTTCTATACGGGTCAGATACTTGCACTGCATGTCAGTCACGAAAAGCTTTTCCAACAGGTTGCTTCAGACTTTTACCCACAGCTGCCCACTTCGCTGGCTGGCTTCATAATGAAGATCAAATGGCCGGCCGATCTGCTGGACAGAAAGAATTAGCAACAAGAAACTCTGCCTGTCTGGTAACAAACCAACCAAGAGCCGACTGCTCAAGAAATGTGTTGGGGAAAATGGAGATGGATAGAGGCATACACTGGCTGAGGAGGCCGTAGAATGACATCACGCACAATGCAGACCATCGATCGAGTGGAATCCGAATGGGTCATCGATGCGGGGTTGACATGCAGAGGTGATCGTGTGATTTGGAGTAGGAGATGATAGATTATGGGCAATCGTCGGGTCAGTCAGCTGAAAAGGACAGCAAAAAATAGAGGAAAGTGGAGATGTGTTGTTGAAGCCGTATTTTCTATTCGAAACCTTAAGTAGCAATAATAATTTTTATTGTTGTGCGGCACTTCTCTTGGTGCCAAGATTGTGTTTTTGAAATAATTTTAGCATAATCCTTTTCCCTAATTTTCATATCTTCTTTAATATTATTATTCTTTATCAGTTCAACAACTTCTGCTAATGCCATTCAATCATTGCTGGATAGATTTCATATTCAAGAATCTGCACGTAAATTTGCTCTATATGAGCATACATTAGAAGGCAATACAAGTAAGTACCTCCTTGATATTATATAATATTGTTTAAGAATTCTTTGATAATTCTAAACATTCCATTTAAGATTAACTGGATTGATTTTTCTGTCTGTTTATCATCAATATTTTCCCAGTAAATAAATTTTTTTGACAGGAAATCTTAATATTTTTGAAGTATAAAAATTGAAGTGAATGATTGTCGGATATAACGTGTAACGGATGAATGAATTTAGGGCTGTTTTGTATTTCTTCCTAAAGCTATACTTATTTTAATAATTTGACGTGAACTACTTTTCAATGAATAAGTAGTTTGCGTGCTTTTTAAAAATTATTTCACAAACAACCTAATGTTGAAGGCTGAACATTTATGAGGAGCATAACAGTGTAGAGTGAGTTGCTTTACATCTAGTTTACAAGTGTGTTGTATAGTATCCTAAATGTGTAAGTTCCATGAGTTTATATCACATAAAATTTCTCATCCACATGGGTTTACATAGATTGTAATTTCTACATGTAAGCTTGCTGTTTTAGGTATTTAACTTCTCATATGGAACAAGATCCTAATTTCCAGCAGCTATCGTCGCTACTTCGATACTGAAGATCAGATGGCCAGCTGGAAGATAAAAGTAACAAGGAACTGTGGCATAGCCTTTTGATGTTGTCGCTACAATTTTTGAGTTTTCCACTGTTTCTGCAACTTGAACTCTCATTTCTTTAAACTTATCAGTCAATTTAATGCCACCATTTCGCAATATCTTCTTCGATTAGTTACTGCCTCATCTTCGACCTGCGGTGCCCTACTGGTCATGACTTCCCACTAGAACCCCAGGTCACTACCTGAATAGAGCCAGTCGCTAGTGAGCATCAGATTAATTTTCAAGTATTGGTTTTGTAGGAATTTTGTTTGATTGTATGGAGGATTTCATCATGAGCTGACATCTTTATGTATTTGTAGAATGTTTTAACAGTTAATGTTGCCTTCTTTATAATACTATTATTATTATTTCAGGTGGAACATAAGGCTTCAGCAGTACAGATCTATTTCTTCCTCTTCCCTGCTATTTCTTTTTTTTTCTGGCACCACGATTGCCCGTAAGTTTCATCTCCTCACACGATCTCATTCATGTCACACCCAACTCGTTTACTATTCTGATTCCACTCGAGAGCTCTTGTTTTGCGTGATTTTATTCAACGGTGTCCTCAGCATGTGTATCTCCCTCTCCATTTCCTGTGGCATATTTATTCGGCAATAGGTCGTTGATTGGGTTGTTCCCAAGGTTCCTTATTGCTAATCCTTTCTAACTGGGCATTTGATCTTCAATATGGAGCCAGTGAAGGTAGCTATTGATAAATGTCTGCAGTAGCCCCTTGGAAATGTTCTGGTTGACACATGAGCCAAGTCTCTAAACCATGTATAAAAAAAACTCGCTGGCTTGATATTAGTGTTGGAAATGTGATCTTTTTACTGTGGTCTCATATAGGAGGAAAGGTTGGGCATATGAAGCTAACAATCCATGATATGGTCTCTTTGTAAAGTTGATATGACCAAGTGAACTTTAAACGTGGCTATGATAACAATGAACGCAATGGAGAACACAACTGATATGCAAAAAAATACGCTTAATCGTCCTTAGTACATATCGCTTCACTGAGCCAAATAAATACCAAACGACAAAGACAGGCCTGTGACTGTTAGGATACGAACCTTTGTTAAGGAAAAAGGCATCATATTTTTAGCCAAATTAAAATTCAGTTAGTTCAACGGAAAATAAAATATTCTGATTGGTTGATTGATCGTTAGCCAAAGGTAAAAGTTACACAATGAGATGATGAAAAGTTGTCCAGTAAGGTTATTCCATATCCTCCGTATCATAAACAATAGATCCAGATTTGAGAAATAAACACTTCCACCTCGTAAAATCACTGCTGTCACTACTGGAATTTCAAAGTTCCGAAACCCTATGTTCTACTGGGAACACAAACTGACTGACTATTTACAACGTAGAACTTTGTACAGATGTATGGCATTTCGAGTTGCCACACTCCGAGCAGCACACAAAGCAAGAGAAGAGAGTAGAGAGACTCAAAAAGGGATAATAAACAGAGAAATGGAGCAAAAAGAATAGTAATATGGAAGAACAATACACTTTATTGTATTATGACTGACAAATCACAAAGAGTGAATATGTATCTGCTCCAGTCATTGGCAACGAGGATTTTGAGCCATATCACCAATCGTCTCCAGCCTTCATTGGTTCCTACCATCCCGAGGGCCCCAATCAGTCAGGAAATCTACACCTCCCCATATGGCTGGCTGGCTTAAACTAACTATTATGAATTTGATTGGCTGACGAGACCATGTTTTGGTTTGATCACCACTAACCGACTCTTTTTCAACCCATCCTATGTTAGTGGCTAACATTGTGAGTTGTCGAGGAAGGCAATTGCTACGCATGCATGTGTAACGCATGTCCTAACAATCTCAATCGACGTAACTTCACAATGTCACCGACTGACTTTCCTCCTTACCTAGCACTCGACCGAGGCCTAACCTCAATATTATTCATTCTATTGTGTCATCTATCACATACCGGAGATAGAACGTAGAAACATCATCGATGACAGCTAGTCTTCATGTCTTCCACTTTCAATGGCCATGACTCACAGTCATGAAGGAAGATGAAGCGAACTAATGAGCAGTGTACACACCCTTTGATCCACAGCCAGCTGGATATCACGTCTATTAAGCCAGAGGTGGCGTAGGTTGGTTGGCATATGCAAAACGGGCCTTCTATATCCGACTCGGAACACAGAGGTAAATAAATTCCATTTTTGTGATGCACAGTAAATTAAATTTCGTATTATTATTATTATTATTATTATTTTCCCCTTTATTTCTAGTTAGTGCTCGTAAACTGTCAACTTCTGAATGTCCTTTATTGTTATTATTAAATTGGGTTCGTACAACTTCAAGTCGTGATCATTTCTTAGAATTACTTAAACAAAAACGTATTGTACTACAGGAAAATGATGCATGTGACATAGAGGTAAGCTTTCTTTCTGATTTCTGTCTATGCACACAGAAGCACATCTTTTTCTCAGTCATATTGTACGTTTCATTGTGTGCCTTGGTTTGAGGGGACTATTCCTTCATATTGATCTTACGTGTTTAGAGACAGTCGACCGGATTATTCCCGCACTTAAGCAACAAGCTTATTGAAATTCGTCAGCAAGACATATCTGTAATCTTACAGGAGTTGATGATTTCCCTCAGGGATTTGAAACCGCATCAATCAATGCTGCAGTCGGAGATATTACCTCTGAGATCTATTTGGGCTCCTTGTAATCATAATATATTCCCTAACTTTTGAAGAGAGAGGTATTTAATTAGAATCATAGTACAGTACAGGGTTCGAGCCCCAGTGGGGACAGCATCATTAGTCACTGAGGATGTGCAGGTGTACATCCAGCTAGCTGACGATTTCCAAATATCATGAAATATGTAGCCTGGATTTTGATGTGGTTTTGTTCTCTGAGCTGGATGGTTAATTTGCGAAGCTTTCATCACCCTACTGGATGACATCTTCAGCGCATACTTCAAATTGAAGTATGCGCTGAAGATGTCATCCAGTAGGGTGATGAAAGCTTCGCAAATTAACCATCCAGCTCAGAGAACAAAACCACATCAAAATCATCCACCTGAGCTACAAATCTTCTCTATCATATCTGTAGCCTGGATTCTACTTTGAGTTAACATTAACGAGAAAGTGAGATCAGAGTAGTTTATATTTTCTTAGATTTTCGTAAATACAAATCTTAAAATTGTGAGTGGATTATTTTATTTCAAGATCTTAACATAGTTCCACATCATTTTATATCCTGTTTCAAAATTTACGGTTGTATCCTGTTGAATACATTGTGGAAATTGCTACTTGAAGCATGTTCATCTGATATTAGGGGATCAGAATCAGTCGCCAAACATTTTTTGATTTATCTGCATTTCGTGTTAGTGTTACTCCTCAGTAGGAATGTGTCTTCGAGGTCGGAGGAATATTCTTACTTTCTGGGAGTCACTTCTTTCGTATGGGTGAGAAACTCGCACTATGCGCAAGTCACGAAAAGCATTTCTTACAGCCTGTTACAAACTTTTTTTCATCAGCAACTGCCTTTGTTGACTCTATAGATGGCTAGCTGGCTAGCTATCCAGGAAGAATTAGCAGCCAGAAACTCTGGGAATGAACCAGTCAAGAAGCGCTTGTTCAATAAATATTCCGAAGGAAATAAGGGACATACGCTGAGGTGGACCATTGGGTGGTAACATCACGCACCAGGTCGTCCTTTGATTCGAACTCGGGTGAGAACAACCAGTTGGGTGTCTCCTAGAGCGAGTGACACGGAGGAGATCGTGCGAGGTGGAGGAGGAATTTAGAGAATAGGTCAAAGTGTGAAACTGTATTGTTGAAGTTCTGTGTTCCATTTGGAACCGAAGGGAATAATACTACTATTCAAGTGTAGGTTTTCATGGATTCGATTTGACTGGTTACAGGATTTTATCATGAACTGATATCGGTTAGAGAACTGTTGGAGAACTTGAGAGTACTGGAAAGCTGTTTCGTCCGTCTAGTTTGGGACTCTTGATCAGTATACACCCATCCACGACGTTTCGGACCCCAGGACCTTCCGGTTACTAGGAGACCTCGTAAACCATTAAGTCGCTGGGACCTGATCCGATGACCAACCCATGAATTGTAACTTCTGCCAATTCACCATATAGCGCGACCACTAGCCCATGTTATCTATCCGTTGTGAGTATTTGTCCTGATATGTAGTCACATGATATCCTGCTTGGTTGACCAGTCAGATATATTTCGCTATATGTTTATTGATCGTTAGCCCATTATGACTCACAATATGCTTTGTTCGTCCATTAACTACATAAACAATGTATGACCTTTGTCACATGACATTACAGCCAATCAGAATCCAGTTGGTGGTAAGAAAAACCAGCTATCTGTCTTATTGGTTCATGTATATTAGTCATTTTCTAAATACTTTTGCATTGTACAGTTATGAAGAAAATAAAAGACGGATTCAGCGAAGAAAATTTTCTTTATCGACGAAATCATCTTCAGAGGCTGTACAGTCGTATTTATACTTAGAAGAATGTATAGTGGTCTATTATTGAATAATAGGGGGTGACACAATTACTGTAATTAATCATAAGTGGCTTTAGAGGTGAAAATTAAAAGTTGTAAATTACATGGTACATTGTACAGTTAATTGACACCTTCCTACTTTTCCGCTCACACTCTGGTGTGACAGTTAATTTTTCCTTGTTGGAATAATAATACACGTATCCATTCATCAACGTGGGGGTCTACTGATTTTCCTCTTCGGATCAGGACAATTTAACTAACTAAGCAATACTAGTCGTTCCGTTATCATCCGTTATATCTCGTGAGTCATATATATACTACTCGGCAACAGCAAAGAATAGACACCAACTTCAGGCGACCTTGAAATGGCCAATCAGATTCTTCTAGGTGAAAAGTGGTACTTAATTTGCAAAGAAGTGTCTCTACAAGGAATCATATAGGGCATATATCCCTATATGCTGCAAAACTGGTCCCAAGGAGAGCTTTGATTTCGAGAAGAAAGTGCCTAAAAGAATCCCCAATTAAGTGCGATCGTACCTAATTGGTAAGTCGACTTACCAACAAATATAGAGACTTCCTAATACAAGGTGGTTGCATCTGATAGTATAACCATCAATAGCCTGGCAATACTTCTGCGGAGTCATTATCCCTCCATATATGCATGCTTTTTATTCCTCCCTATCAACACACTATCTACACAGAGAAGTCAAAAACCAAATCTAGGAGACACTTTCTACGAGGATTATGACTAGCATTCAGTTGTAGTGCTGAGCTGTCTGAATGGTCAAATCAAGGTGTCATTTGATTTTAGGTGTCTATTGTTTACTCTTGCCATATACTCGGTCACTCCATAGCATGTCCTCACACCCGATCTGCTGTACCCTACTGGTCATGACTTCTCAATAGGAATAATACTTAGCGTTGAAGTCAATGAAATTACTATTGCTACTAAATTGTCTCCCCACTCGAAGTAATCATAATAAGACTAATAAAATCAAAATGCATGACAATCCTTGAAAGTCTAGAGTCCTTTTTTTGAAACATTCTTCCGATATACTGAAGTATTAAGTTAAATAATATCAATAAGGAAGAAGGTTTGGTTTAAATACCCAAGTGTTAGTTTGTAGGAATTTTAGCGGTCATGAAATGTCATCAGTTGGAGAATCAACCAGTTGTGAGCACTAGATAGCTGTTTTTGTCTTAGTTTCTGATCCTATTAGGGATCGAACCCGTACTCTTTTCAGGTTAAAAGATCAGCACATTACCACTGGTGTTCGAACTCCAATGGCTGCCGGTGGAATATTTTTTATACGGTGAATCAGCAGTTAAATTAAATCTCATGCATAATTTTCATTACTTTTAAACTGCCTGTCAGAGTATAATCGTTTGAAAATAATAACTAGTATGACAATGTAACGTTCGCGACTGTCAGTTACTTTCAAATAAAAGAAGAAAGAGAAAGAGAGAAGTTCTCAATAGTTAGATTAGATTTATTTTTATGCGTTTGACCCACCACGGAGGATTGATATCAGTTAGAGAACCATTGAAAACCAGCCACAGGGAGTACTGGACAGCTGGGTTCGAACCCTGGCGGTGAGTGTGTACTGCCGATGTTTCTCAAACTAGGTTGAAGAAACAGCTGTCCAGTACTCCAGTTTTGGTTTTTAATGGTTCCCTAACTGATATCAATCCTCCGTGGTGGTCAAACTCGTAAAAAAAAGGAGAAGTAATAATCGAATGTTTTTTTTTCTTGTTTCATTTTCTGTTTTTCCTCTAGTGGAAAGAGTTCACAACAGCAGAGTTGACCAACTTCTTACGTATACTTGATAAAGAAGAATCTGAATATCGGAATGCTATCCTATATCAATACAATTTATTACGTAATCAGTTGGAGCAACGAATGAAACAGTTGTTGGAGACTGGTGAGGCTTATCGTTATCACCACCACCATCATCATCAATCACATCATCAGCATCACCATGGTGGTAACGAGAATAGCGTCGTTAGTGATGATTCATTGACTAGTGATACTAATGGTGGACCACCTGTTTATTCAAGATTCTATTCACCATCACATCCTTATGCTCTGGAACAACAACAACAGACTAATGAAGACTGTCAGCCTCAATCGACAGGACAACCTTGTTATGACTGTCATTGTTCTTCACGTTAGCTGATTCTTTCGATGATGGTGATGGTGATGGCGATGATGACGACGAGTATTGACGAACATTTCCTAGTGGTCACTTTGAAAATGAAAGAAAGGAGAAGAAGAAGAATCAACATTCTAGATCCGTTTATTTTTATCCATTTTTCTTCGTTGTGGATAGCAACTAACTACTCAAATCATTATTTAGTAATATTATTTATCTCTCTATCGTTTGTTTTTTTGTATGCAGACAAGACTGAAAATCATCTTCACATAATCTTAAGCTCGACTCCTGTCCAACTTTTTCCAACCTCCTCATGTCGTAATGATAATAATAAGTGTGTGACTCATACAGGAATCTGTACTGTGGATAACTAACTGTGAAATATTTGACTGACTGACAACTCTTCTGTTTGGCCTATCTCCTCTTGTCTCCTCCACACACACACACACACACTCTGTTTTCCTTTCTGTAGTTCGTGTATTGTAAACCTACTTCCAGCCTGATTTTATCAGTCTGTTGTTGTGTTTCATCTTCTCGGCTTTAATTATTTTCCCCTCGCTGTCATCATGTGTGGCGCGTACAATCGGACTAATGTGTAAATATTTTTCTTTTGAAAAATCAATATTTATTTTTTACCATGTTCTTGTTACCTTCCATCCTGTTTTCTCCCCGCCTTCTCCCCTCTCTCTCTCTCTTTCTCCTGGAAGCGAAAAGCCTACACATACATACACATACATTTGTAGTGTACTCTGTATTGCTTCTGATTCTTGTTCCTCGATATTTCTTGTTCGATGATCGGTGGTGGTTAACAGTCCTACTCAAATAAGTAATGACGTGCTTGATGTTTTCTTATGGATTGTGTTATGCTTTCTTATGTGTTTGCTAAATAGTATTAATTAAATTAGAGCAACTCTGATCTGCTCTACCCTGCTCCTCTGAGACTGCGGCATTCATTCATCGATCGGTACACCCATTTATGCATTCATTCATTCACTTACTGACATATACCCCCCTCCTCCATATACATGCCAACATGTTGCGTGTGTGTGTGTGCCTGTGTATGTGTGTTTGAGTCTTTTAAATAATTCCTAAACTCATCTTGTTTTTTTTACGTACGATATTTTTGTGCATTGAAGAGTTCGCTGAAGTGTCTGTGTGTGCGTGTGGCGGCGTGGCGTTGAAACGCAGTTGATTGACCTTTGTCGAGAGAAAGGAAACGAAATTAGTAATAAATAAAAATCGATGAGAATCAATATTTCTTTTATGAGTTCTACCGACTTCTTCCTTTCTTTTTTCTCACTGTCTATTTTGTCCAAGATTTAAAAAGGAGAATCAAATTCACGATTCGAAATTTCAATATAGAAAAAAAACATTTAGACACGCTGTGTTACCAGTGCATCGGTGGCATAGCGGTTAGGACGCTCGCCGATCACCATGCATATGGTTCAGGGTTCGATCCCCGGCCACCGACGCACTCTCCTTTATCTCACTAAGCCAGAAATAAAGCTGATGAAGAGAAAAGGTTGGGCATGAGGCTAGCAACCCCATCTTGTAAAAATAAACACTGCTACAGAAACTTCAAGCCTCTAGCTTGAAGCCCCATGGTCCACTGGGAACGTGAAGGAATAAAAAAAAAAGACATTTAGAAAACAGAAAGATTGAACGAAGAAATATTTACTTTCCAATTAGATCCTCATCTCACTCTGGCTCTACTCTAATATACACGTATGGCATTTTTATTACAATACACAACAATTCACCAATCAAGTGCCACTGATGATGATATGTTGTTAACAATAATTAGTCAGTGTCAAAATGTCAATGGAGTGATAATTAACGAAGAAAATTAATATATATAATTAAAAGGTGGAAATGGTTAGAATAAATTAATTTCACAAGGATAACACGTAATTAAAGATGAAGTGGTCAAAATAAATAAATTAATTTGGACAATTATAATTTCTAAAGCTCTAGGGGAAGGGGGGCGAAGTAGTCCGGTTTGTACATTCATGTAACTATGGCCTTTGTCTCACACATCTGCTCACTGTTTCTATTATGCTTTTCTTATACTTTCTTCTCTTGCTTCGCGTGCTACACGGAATGTGGCGACTTGAACTTCCGCACATTTGTGCAAAGTTCTATGTCGAAAACAGACAGACAGACAGAAGGAAAGTGGCTGTACAAATTTCTTCTGAATACACAGGTTTGGCTGGCTTCTTCAGTTGGATTCCTATTTTTTCAGCTGTAGGTATGTAGAAGACGAACTCGTAGAGGAAAATTAAGATTAGTAGGAATGCGATAAATATAATTTTAAATGCAGTATTAACGTCAACCTTATGCTCAGTAGGTGTCTACATGGTGTGCTACAATAGAGTTATGAATAGATCTTGTTTGTCCATTGGTTAACCATACTGCAGGATGATGTTCGGAAATACGATGGTGAATCTGGCCATTGACATTTTGACACTGACTAATTATTGTTGACAAACATATCAGTGCCACTTGATTGGTAAACTGTTGTGGATTGTAATAAAAAAGATTCGAAATTTATCAGTCTGGTTAGTGATTTAAGCTGATTCAGCCCCACCTGAGCTAAGTGAAATCGGATGCACACCTGTGATGGACTCTGCCACAAATGACAGAAACAACTGTCTGACTAGCAGCCAATACTGGTTGAATCTGAGTGGTATCCAACTACTTATTTTAAGCAATCACTAGTATATATGTATATGCTTAGAAAGGAAGAAGAGGGTGACTTATATGTGTGCGTTTCTTACAGTGTATTATTCATGCATTCATATGGTTATTCGGATTTCGACTTTTAACCTTACGATAAAATGATTGAGTTGATGTGTCGAAGGTTGTCCAGTAGTAGAGAATGGCTCATCAGGCGCTCACGTGGTTCAGGTTCGATTCCCGTGTGACTCAGTGTTTAATCTCACCTAGTTTTACTAGGTATTAGGAGGGGCCCAGGAAAGAGGAAGGCTGTACGCCAACATATTCTAGGAAATGTTTTACATAATGTGAGGCTTAATCTAGAAGGGAATACACAGGTGGGTAAGTGAAGGAAAGTGTGAAAGACGATTTAATCATTCTGAATCTGGATAAAAACTAGTGGAAATACGCTAAAGTACTGAAATTAAGTGTGTATAAGAAGTAGTATTATTTTGATGTTAGACGACGAATTGACTTTAGTTAGAGAACCGCTAAAAAAACTAGGGAGTTATCGGACAGCTGTTTCATCCTAGTCGTGACTAGCGGCAGCGTCCGTCAAGTTGGGAATGAGAGCAGACACTCGCCCGTGACATAGTCTGGCAGTTGTGGTGTATATTACAATTTGACGCGATTCAGAATCTATAGGTTGGCCATGGGATTCAGTCGCAGTGGCTGAATACTAAGTTGGATTGACCTGGTAACCTGAAGGTGCTGGGTTCGCCTTCTGGCGGTGTGATGGATGCTGAAGCTGTGTGAATACATTGATATGATTATGCACAATATATTGTGCTCGGAACGTTATTATCCGGTTATCAGTGTTACGATGGAAACCGAATTGTTGTTTGTTGAACGCAGGAAACCGATCTCTGTGACCCACTGAGTAGTTGATGAATTTTCCTTGAGATACTCACATTCACAAAGCTCTCCAAAGACGACAAAAGGACGATTGTTCGTGGTTGGAATCTATGTGTGTGTGTGGTTCTGTTCAACAATAATAACATTCAAAATTACCTCAACAGTGTCGTTAAGCAACTATACCAGTTAAGGCTATTGTCTAAATACAAAACGAGTAGAATCTACCTAACATGCAGGGTAGGATCAAAACTATATCGACAAAAATCACGCAACAACCATTCCCGAAGACATTCCAATGTCAGAATGACCTTCATTCACTCAAACAAAATCGCAGTCGGTGGCACAGCAGTTGGGACTCTCGCCGACCATGCAAACGGTCCAGGGTTCGATCCCCGGCCGACGCACATCTGATATCAATGGACGGCCTGCTAAATTCGGGCTAACCGATATCGTATGCTGAAAATTCCATAGTTGCTGTGTGGAATCAAGCTATAATAAAATAAAAATAAATATCAATGTATCACACACAACCACAAAGAGAAACGTTAAAATTAGAGAATAAACGGGAACAGAGGTAAATAATAGGGATTAAGTCAACAGATGGTATGCAAATGTCTTAACGATGATCTACAGTCTAGGCGGATGATGGATAACAATTACAAAGTTGGTTGAAACATCGGAATAAGTAATAAATATTGTGATCAGATGGTTCAGGAGTGCTATATCAAATGAACTTACCTAATATGGAGTTTAGTTAAACTTCATATTGCAGGAATTCATTTGTAGTCAGAATAGTGTCTCCTTAACAGTATTTGGAAGTAATGTAAGCCTTTTTGTTAGAGATTCCGACAAAATACTGAACACCTTCTGTAAATATTTAGGTATGTTTGGTATCAAAGTTGGCAGAAGAAACATCAAAGATTGAACTTCAGGTGAACATAGAGAAAACAGAGGTGATGAAGATTCCTGGCCAACAGCAGCAGCAACAACAATCAGCACAAATGCGAGAAGCTGAAAGAAGCAACCTCCTTCACCAACCCACCTAACTGGGAAACATGATTTCAACTACAGGCGGACGGAAGTGATGAGAATATCATTAAGGCGAAGATTATCGGGAAAGCAACGCAATCTTTCATTACTCTCAAGTATGTGTGGAGGTCAACAGCACTCAGCATGGCAATGAAAATAAGATCCGGATTTTAAACTTCAATGTGAAGTTAGTGCTACTCTACATGAATCAAAAACTTGGCGCGTCATGAAGAGCTCTTCAAACAAACCGCAGACCTTCATCAACATCTGTCTTCGCTCAAGATCAGATGGCCGACCGGAAAAGATCAGCAACAGGGAGGGATCTCTGGGAACAAACCAACCAATCCAGTAGGAACCAATTGTGCAACAAATATGCAAGAAGAAATGGAGGTGGATTGACCATACTCTGGGGAAACCATCAAGTGGCATCACAAGACAGACCCGAATGGGAAACGGTGAGTTGGTCGTCAGTGCTGTCTGTCTGTCTGGATTCAACATAGAACTTGGCACCCAAGTGCAGCAGTTCAAGTTGCCACGTTCCAATTGGCACACAAGGTAGACAAGAAGATGAGTGAAGAGAATCAATAGAGTTTGACAAATATAAGAGTGAAACAGAATGGGTAATGGTAGAAAGGAATATGAAAGATTACAGAGACTGAATACATCTGCGCTGGTCATTGACAACGATTTTGAGCCATGTCACCTATTGTCTCCAGCCATTGATTCCTAGAGTCAGTCCCGAGGGCCCCAACCCGGGAGTCTGCATCTCCCTACCTGACTCAGTTTAACTGTCAAGGATTTCATGGATTGATGCCATGTTTTTGTTTGGCCACCACTGGCTCTTTTCCAACCTGCACCTATATCAGCTAGCAATGCCCGTCGGGGGAGGCGATGGTTAGGCATGCGCAGCACGTGACCTAGCCATCTTAGTCTATGTAACTTTATAGCCTCGTCGATTGATTTTCCCTCTTTGCCCAACACTCTACGCCTAACGTCAACATTACTTATCTTGTGAAACCACCTAACGTGAGACAGAGATCGCAGACATCTATGATCGAAAGCAGTCAACCTTTTCATGTCTTCAACGCGTATTGGCCATGTTTCAGAGCCATAGAGAAGGACGGAGCGAACTGATGAGCAGTACTTACGTCCCTTGGTTGATAACCGGATGTCACGCCTACGCCAGAGATGGTGTAAGTCAGCGAAAGCAGCTCGAGCTTTTCGGATCCGTGCTGAGATTTCATCGCCAATCAGTCCGTTGGTGCTAATACAACTTCCCAAGTAGGTGAAGTGGTCAACATGTTCTATCACTTCACTCCCTATCACTAAGTTAGGGATTGACGTGGTCCAGTCCTGTAGCAGCATCTTACATTTTGCAGGGGCGAATCGCATGCCAAACATACGAAGATTGCTGCTCAAGGTGTTCAGAAGACTCTGCATTTTGTCAGCATCCTCCCCTAACAGGACTATGTCATCTGCATATTCTAAGTCCATTAGATTATTCCCTGGTAACAAGTCGATTCCTAAGTCACTACGTTCAGTTAAGGATACTTCCATTAGCATTTCTATGATGAAGTTAAACAGAAATGGGGAAAGTGGACATCCCTGTCGGACACCACTGGTTGTTACCAATTCAGATGACAATTCCCCATAAGCCCTTACACGACTACGTGAGTTTGAATAGAGTGCCTTGATTAGTGCAATGTACTTTCTTGGCACTCCCTTCACAGTCAGACATTGCCATAGTACCTTTCGATCCACGG